TCACCCACACTGATTTCTGCACACCTCTCACACGTTTAGTGGCCCCATCGAGAGCTGCATCGAAGGCACCATTGGCGCAGCGCATGCGTCACCGATAAGGATTTCCAACGAAAAACACCATTGTCGCAGCTCGCATGGATCACCCACAACCATTTCGGCATAACCCTCATACATTTCGTGGCCCCATGCGGAGCTTCACCGAAGGCTTCAGTGCCACCGCCCGCGCGCGTCACCCACGCCCATGTTGGCACACACACACTTCGCACGTTTCGTGACCCCATAGGGAGTTCCACCGAAGGCACCATTGACGCAGCCCGCATGCGTCACCCACATCAGTTTCGGCACACCCCTCACATGTTTCGTGGCTCCATAGGGAACGCCACCGACGACCCCAATGCCACCGCTCGCATGCGTCATCCACACCCATTTCGGCACGCCCATCACACGTTTCGTGGCCCCATCGGGAGCTCCACCGATGGCCGCAATGCCACTGCCCGCATGCCCTGTTGGCACACCCTTCATACGTTTCGTGGCCCCATAGGGGGCTCCACCGAATGCCCCAGTGCCAACGCCCGCATGCGTCACTCAGGCTCATTTCGGCACACCCCTCACACGTTCCGTGTCCCCATGGGGAGCTCCATTGACGGCACCACTGGCGCAGCCCGCATGCGTCACCCACGCCAGTTTCGGCACACCCCTCACACGTTTTGTGGTCCCATAGGCAGCTCCACCGAAGGCCCCAGTGCCACCGCCCGCATGCGCCACCCACACCGATTTCGGCACATTCCTCACACGTGTCGTGGCCCCGTATGGGGGTTCCACCGAAGGCTCCAGTGGCAAAGTCCATATGCGCTTTCCCCACGCAGTACAGGGTTTCGTGGCCCCATGGGGAGCTTTACCGAAGGCCCCAGTGGCACCGCCCGCATGCGTCACCCCCACCCAGTACAGTGTTTCGTGGCCCATAGGAAAAACTCCACTGGTGACGATATCCACAACTGCGGTACTCACAATTGCATATGGTTGAGTCCCTCGCCAGGCTAATTATTGCTTGGGCCTCATGGCTGGTGCCGCCGACCCTGCATGGAGACGGCCACGACGATGGCGACGGCGATGACGACGACGACGCTGACGTTTCTCGCAGGGAGGGGTGCTCCCCCCGCCCGGGGTGGGTGCGTCACAACCCTGGGGCCCTTCCATCCCCCCTGGGCCAGCCTCGGGACTCCCCCTCCAACCCCCTCCGCGCGGGGGGAGGGATTGAAGGGAAGGAGCTTCTCTTCGACTCGATTACGACGTTGCTCGGTTTTCTTTCGGCTGGGACGCTTAAGGAGTCGCGGCAACGACGACGACGACGACGACGACGACGAGGACGAGGACGAGAACGACGACGACGACGACGACGACGACGACGACGACTCAAACGGAAAAGCGTTTCACACACGTCGACAGGGTCGGCGGATTTGGGTAGGGTTGCGTATTCGGGGACGAAGATTCACGAGCAATAACACAATCAAATCTTGTGTTCCAGTGATGCGTGAGGTGACAGCCCCAGTCGGGACTGGTTCTTAGTTGTAACATGCGATTGTAATTGTGGCTGCAGGTGGAATGGCAGGGTGCGCCGCATGCGAATGGTTGGCAGTACAAGGATTGGAGTGTGTGCGATCGAGATTTCAAAAGGACATGGTTGAGGCTTCCCCATGAAGGCGTGAACCTTCCAGGAGAAGGTTCCGTATTAAACTTCTGGAGGTCATGAGTGGCCTCCAGCCCAGCGGGGCCTTCGTTTGCCCGTGTATGCGCGAAGCGAGGCGTGTCAGTGGCCGGCCAATTCATCAGATGCCTCGATTTTCGGGGTCCGAGGATCGAGGTTCTGGGATGCTCTTGGACCCCAGTGCGGGAACGCAGGGCGTGGGGCTCGGACCGTGCTGGGTCCCCGAGCAGCGCCTGGCGGGATATTCGTTGCCGCCCCCCCGCAGTGCGAGGGCGCGGGGCGTAAGTGGTGCATGGCAGGTCCGCGTGCCCCACCCGCGAGGCCCGAGGGTTCGGGGATCGCCTGCGGTCTCCTTCTCCTCCTCCTCCTCCTCCTCCTCCTCCTCCTCCTCCTCCTCCTCCTCTTCCGCCTCCTCCTCTTCATTCTTCCCTCCTCCTCCTCCTCCTCCTCCCCTCCTCCTCCTCCTCCTTCTCCTCCTCCTCCTCCAAATTCCTGGGACCGCCAGGGCCTTCCGGGCTTCGCCGGGTGCGCGCCCGAGCAGGGAGGCCCCCTCGTCATGGCAGGGCGAGCGCACGCGTCGTGGGCGGCCCGTGGGCGCCAGGGGAGGCGGGCGGCCGCTCCCCAGGGGCCGCGGGCGGAAGCTCCCCAGGGGGGGAAGAGGGCGGGGCGGCAGGAGACGAAGGGGCTTCAAGGAGGAGGAGGAGGAGGAGGAGGAGGAGGAGGAGGAGGAGGAGGAGGAGGAGGAGGAGGAAGGAGGAGGCGGAGGAGGAGGAGCTGGGTGCGCTCGCGTCCTATCTGTCGTCGTGCCCCTCCCTCTTAACCCTTACCATGGCGCAGATCTCCTCTTTCTGCGCACAGGCCGATGTCGAGCAAGGCAATGATCCCGAGAGGGTTTGCGATGCATGGTACAGCACGGCATAGCATGGTATAGAAGAGCGCGTCCGAGCAGAGCATGTCATAGCATGTTATAGCATGGCTTGGCATTGCGTAGTGTAACATTGCATTACAAAGCGTAACATCGCAAAGCATGGCATCACACAAAGGAGCACAACGCAACATCGCATTGCATGCCACGGCATGGCACCGGATGCTTTGGAGGGTAAATGGCCCGTGTACGAAAGGAGAAGGCCTGTCCAGAATCCTGGCTCCATGTCCTGCGCAACCGTGCCTGCCCCATGTGGGCGCTTTCGAATGCCAAGTGCCATCTGGTAGGGGTACTGTAAGAGCGTAAGGCTCCCCCCTTCCTTTCGACACGCTGCCTTGCGTTCCGCGAGCCTCCTTCCAAGTCTCCCTGGGCTCCCCGGTCAGCTCTGCACGAGGCGTGGCGGATGGCCCGAAGACTTCGGGAAACTCCAGGGAACGCATAGAAATTGCCGACGGCGACAACGACGCAGACGACGACGGCGGCGGTGGCGGGGGAAGATGCGGCTGGCGAGGACAGATGTCAGGGAATAGTACGGCGGGCTGCCAGGCTCGATGGTCTGACTTCCTTGAACAATCGACTCACACTGGGCCCCTGGACCCCTCACAGGGTCAAGTCAGATCGGCGTTTTCCAGCCAGATCGTTTTTTAAGGTCCCTGGGGGGGGGTTCGTACGGCCCCCAAAAGTCAACGAATCGTCTCCGAATGTATAATAGTTTCGCATGTTTTTTTTGGGTGTATTCTTTAAATTTTGAGGGCCTATTTGGAAGGACCGAAAACCATGCCGTGGCATGGCGCTGGAAATAATGACGCCAGCGCTGCAGCGGGAGCACGATTCGGAACGAACGGAAACGCAGAAATGAAGCCAGCGCTGCAGCGGGAACGCGATTCGGAGGACGCGTAGCCCGACATAGCATGGCATGGCGAAGCCCCAAAGTGGGGGGGCTTCCGCGGCCCCCAAATCAACGAATCGACACCGAATGTGTAATCATTTCCGAGTTTTTTTTGCCTTTTTTTGGGGGGGGGGGTGTTGTCTCAGGTTTTGTGGCCTATTTGGAAAGGCCGAAAACGATGCCGCGGCATGGCGGTGGAAATAATGACGCCAGCGCTGCAGCGGGAGCACGATTCGGAACGAGCGGTAGCCCGAAAATGAGGCAGCGCTTCAGCGAGAGCAGCATTTTGAACAAAACGCCCCAAGCGAAAACCCCATTCCAGGGAATCTTATGTGTTAAAACCAGTACGCGGAGGAGGGTTGGATATTTCCCAGACGTCACCAGGGGAGACGAGAGTAGTTTTCGCATTGAGTTAAGTGTGGAGAACGAGGAGGAGGAGGAGGAGGAGGAGGAGGAGAGAGGAGGAGGAGGAGGAGGAAGAGGAGGAGGAGGGGGAGGAGGAGGAGGGAGGGAGGAGGAGGAGGAGGAGGAGGAGGAGGAGGGGAGGAGGAGGGGAGGAGGGGAGGGGAGGGGGGAGGGGCGGAGGAGGAGGGGAGGAGGAGGAGGAGGAGAAGGAGGGGAGCAGGAGGATGAGAGGAGGAGGAGGAGGAGGAGGAGGAGGAGGAGGAGAGGAGGAGGAGGGAGGAGGAGGAGGGAGGAGGATGAGGGGGAGGGGGAGGTGGAGAGGATGAGGAGGCGAGAGGCGAGGCGGAGGAGGAGGAGTAGGAGGATGAGGAGGAGGAGGATGAAGATGAGCACGGGGAGGAGGAGGTCGACGTGGACGACGAAGAGAACCAGAGGAGGAGGAGGAAGAGGAGGAGAGGAGGAGGAGGAGGAGGAAGGAGGAGGAGGAGAATGAGCATAGGAGGAGGAGGAGAGGAGGAGGAGGGAGGAGGAGGAGGAGGAGTAGGAGGAGGAGGAGGAGGAGGAGAGGAGGATAAATGAGGAGGAAGAGGAGGAGCAGGAGGAGGGAGAGGAGGAGGAGAGAGGAGGGGCAGAGGGGGAGGGGGAGAGGATGAGGAGGCGGAGGCAGAGGCGGAGGCGGAGGAGGAGTAGGAGGATGAGGACGAGGAGGAGGAGGAGGAGGATGAAGAGGAGAACGGGGAGGAGGAGGTCGACGTGGACGACGAAGAGATACGAGGAGAGGAGGAGGAGGAGGAGGAGGAGGAGGAGGAGGAGGAGGAGAATGAAGCATATGAGGAGGAGGATGAGGTGGAGGAGGAGGAGGAGGAGGAGGAGGAGAAAAGGAAGGAGGAGGAGGAGGCGGAAGAGACAGCGGGCGGAAATGCAGGAAACGGGGACGCGTGGGCGGCGCAGTGCGTGTGGGCTCAGAACTGACGGAGGGTTTGGGAAAGCACAAATGTCTGGACCTTGGAGAGCGTGGTGTCGTGTGGAGGAGGAGGATGAGGACGACGAAGGCGGAGGAGGAGGGGGAGGAGGAACTAGCCTTTAGTGGCTCAAAGGCGCAACTTTGCCGTCAGGGTGGTTTGAGTGCAGCCAGCGGGGACTGGCGCTGCTAGTCGCTCTTTCGTCGCAGTGGGCGTCAAGAGTAGTCGCATGGCTGTCCACAAGACCATGTACTTTCAAGGGTTGCTCTTTTCGCAGCTGTTCGGATGAAGGGCAACAACGCGGGCCGCGGGGGTCATGACGCTGAGGCGTCGTGTGGCTTTCTTAGCGACTGTGGCGGCTGTCCCGCTGACGAGCTTTGTGAACGAGCTACTGTTCCGTGATGACGTCTCCCTCATTTGTGAGTACAGCGCTTGGTTCATGGACAACATCCCTACCATCGTGCTTGCCGAGGACTGGCGAGTTGGTGCCTTCGTGGCGAGCTGCAGGGAAACGTGGGAGACCACAACAGAGCAGGCTGTGAAAGACGAGCTGCTGAGGCTGCTGCACGGGGGCGACTTTGAGGCCGTGCTGGCCTCGCCGCCGACGTGCCCGCCCGTGTGCTCAGGGGAGATCCCGAAGGCGAAGTCCTTTGAAGAGTGCGCCGCCGGGCTCGGGAAAGCGGCGGACGCTCAGGTGAGCCAGCTGATGCGCCGCGTGGGGGCCCACCCGCTGCACCTGGAGACCATCCGCGCGTCCGAGGTGCAGAGAGCCATCGGGCACGGTGCTGTGGCGAAATTCGACGCCACTGCCGTGTTGCCAAAGCACGTGTGGAACGTCTCGATCAACGATCTTTACGAGATGCACAAAGCCGCAGCCGACCGGATCGTGCACCATGTGGCCTTGAAGTATGGTGACCGTCCTGTCAAGGGTTCGCTTCTGTCGTACAGTGGGGACGCAACATGCGAGAACGAACTCATGGACGTGCGCCGTCAAGTGCAGAATTGGGGAATCAGGTCCTTTAAGACTCGTTTGGCCATGGTGTTCCTGATCCCATACATTCTGCATCGCCACTGCCACGCTAACCCGTCTTTCAAGCAAGTCGCAGAGTTGTCCCAGGGCTTCGAGAGTGCGTTCCAGTTTGCTGTCTACAACCGCACTCGGAGTTTGGAGGTGCATCGGAGGTTCTTAAAGTTCAGGAATAAGAACAAAGCTCTGATCACGTCGAACGTACACACGAAGTATTTTCCCGAATTCATGAGGGAGGTTGACGTGGCCGGCAAGCTTGGTCTGACGGACAGCGTCTTGGCAACTCATCAATACTTGTGGTTCGGAGCCTCGCACGGGGCCATTCACCATGATTTCCAGGACAATGTTCTGATTCAGGTCACGGGAGTGGTTGAGGGGATCGTCGTACCGCCAAACTGCTCTCATTTTCTCTTAGACAGCCCTTACATGCAGAAGCCCGACGTGAACTGGCTGTGGCCAGATCTCACCGACGGTTGGCCTCACAAGGCGCCTTTCTATTACTTCACCCTGAGAGCTGGCGAGGGCATTGTTATCCCTGCGACCGCTCCTCACAGGATCATCTCCAGATCCAGCCACCGCATCGGCATGAATTCCTTCTTCGAGCCGAAGTTCAAGCGAATGCAGTGGGGGTCGTCCGCTCCCGCAAATTTCTTCCAGCTCCAGCCCGACAGTGTCCTTGCCGTACGGGCGCTCTGGACAGAGACGCTGGGGCGTTTGTTTGACACGCGCAGGATCGTGCTGGCGATGCACACCTCGAAACTTGAGTACATCTGACGCGTTGTGGCACTGAATAAGGACCTCTTCTCTATCTTCCTCATCTTGCCCACCCTCGTCAAAGTCATCTACGCCAACATGCCTGCGTGTGCACGTGCTTGCCTGCAATTCCGCACGAATCTATCTTTGGAAGTTGGCATCCCTGCTAGCTTGCATGGTGCATGCTTGCGTTCATGCGTGCTTGCGTGCTTGCTTGCCTGCTCGAAGGTTTGCGTGCTTTTGCGCTTGCACGCTTGCCTGCTTGCACGCTTGCGCGCATGCCTGCATGCTGACATTTGAATGCTTTCGTGCTGCTTGCATGCTCGCTTGCTTGCTTGCACGCTTGCTCGCAGGGAACGGCGAACGGGAGAGGGAGAAGGGGGGGCGGAACGCACCAGAGGCGTAGACGGCGAGAAGGAAAGAGAGACCTCCCACAACGTAGTCTCATGTTATGTATTTCGATGTGCCATCGACGTCGGATCTAGATTTTTGTTGTTTCATCCGACATGCGAGCTACTGTAAGAGCTCGAAAACACATCACAGCAGAAGCGGTACGCAACACAAAGGCCATTGAAAACGCATTCCCACGTAGGGGTATTCAGAGACAACGCACATTTGTCGCAAGCAAGGTGTACGCAAGCATCTGGGAATGGCAAACATTTTAGAAGTTGTCGTGCGTGTCCTATGCTTTTCTTGTTGCGACATTTTTTCCGGTCTGTATTTTCTTCGGCCGACCCAGCGTGAGGCAGTGACGCCTAGCATATTCCATCTTACGGTTCGCGCGTTCTCACTTGCCAGTCCAGCTTTCAGTGGGCGTTTGTGGCATTTTGGTCCAACGGCTGCGTGTGGATGGGGCTTCAACGGGTCTTGCGGAGTTTCGCAGGCTTGTGAAGTCATGGTGCCTCTTGGTGTTTATGTGCGGAGGGGTATTCAGTTGTCGTTTTGGCTGGTTCTGACCTGGCGGCCTTTCGCAGGACTTACATTAACCTCCTGACTCTCGTAGTCCCTGTGTGTGTGTGTGTGTGTGTGTGAGAGCGTGCGCTCGCTTGCCCAAATCTACGCCGCCGCGCGAGTGGCCGCGACGCCAGTGTGTGTGTGTGGGGGTAAGGTTATGTTCGTGGCTATGATCGTCATGCTTCTGGCTGTGGTTTTGTCGTGCCCTGCCATTCGCACCGCATGCGAATCCAGAAAATCAACTGTCAAGGGTCGTTCCTGCAAGGTGGAATCGGTTCCTGCTGGCAGCTCCCGCTTGCGCCCGCGATCCTGTCAGTCTGGCCCACGTGTTGCGTGTTTCCAGTTTCTGCATTTACCCATTGCCGAACATGGTCATTTCATTTGCTGCCCTCTTCTTGCCTTCAAGGTCAGCCCTGGCGATGTTGTGGACGGCGTCAGCTCCCACATGCCGCCCCATACGGCTTGGTAGAGCACAAGGCAAGTGGGAAACGATAAAGGTCAACGGTGGCATTGATTTCATGGGACCAGGATACTATAATGAGTTCTCTCGTCGCATGCCTGGGCTTTTGTCGTTCATCCTGGGTTCGACTAGTCAGCTGTGCATCCCGATAGAGCAGGAGGCATGGAGCAACGAGCTACTCACAGCCTCTGTCTGCGTGTGTCTTCGTATGCACTGCATGCACTGCGTCCGCGTTCATGTTGGCCTCCCCGGTCAGTGTGAAGCGCTTGTAGTCCTGGCAGGGTTGGCGAAGTTGGCAGGCTGCTTCTGTATTCTGACGGCGAATGCCAGGCTGTCGGAGGGATGGAGGGATGCAGGGGTGCAGGGATGCGCAGTGGCAGGGGTCGGCAGCAGAAGCCATCGAAATGTGTTGGACTGCTGAACGCTTCTGGCATCCAGGGTGCCCTGAGGGGTCGCGCCGCGAAGATAGCAGTTTAAATTTTGTAGAACACTTACGATTGGCGCCCATGAGTGGTAGTGGACGGGGGGCCGTCGCATCCGGAGCCCGAACCATCACTTCGCTAAACACGCTGGGAGGAAAGAAAGGTAAGATGGGGGACCCTGGCACATTCGTCGCTGGGGAGCTCGATGACGGGTTGAGCAATTTTTTGTTGCATGGGAAACGATGCGAATGTCTTCACGAAGCCAGTGGTCCGTGCCTGACATGTCTTGCTATCCGTGGAACACCAGTGACATTATGCCCAAACGAGTTTTGGACACGCCGTAGTGAGGTACACACACACATATATATATATATATATGCCAGCAGCTGTAGTTTTGTGTTTTGAAAGGGGGGGAGTCAGCGCGCCTGAGGCTCGAACGCGCTGGTCCCAGTTCGCAGTCGCACGCAGTGTGTGTGTGTGTGTGTGTCAGCTCTGTTTTTTTATCCGGGCCATGTCGGCCTCGGACGCGTGTGTTTCATCACGCCTCTTGCACTTGCACGGCGCTTTGTCGTGTCTGCTGCAAGGCTGGTGGCGTCGTCTTGTCGCGCAGCCGCGCGCCTTTCGTCGCTGGTCTGGCAGCCTTGCAGTTCTTTCGTCGCCTCTCTGGCTAATCAGCACCCAGACTGCTGTTTGCGGTTCAACTCCTTGCGTCGAGCTTACGCTCCGCGGGTTCGTTCGCCGTTGCATCCTGGCTTTGCAGCGCCTCATTTTTCCACCACCAATCTGCATGGCCAAGGCTGGATTGACTCATCATGGCACGTTCGGCTAAGTTCGTTCGCAATTTGTACCTCCACCTGCCGACCGCGCCTGAGGCTCATCTGCGCCGCCGACTTAATAGTGTGTGTGTGTGTTATGCTCTGCATTCGGTGTTGTACACCCTTGTCTGTTCCTTCTTCTCTCTCTCTCTCTACAGTTGTCTCTGTGCTGCGCGTGCAACTGTGCGTGTGATTCCGCTGCCTGCGCTCGCCAGACAGACTTCGACTGCGCCGCGGCCTCCAGGGTGATGCCCGCGCCCGACGTCCCGACGGTGCTGTGCTGACGCCTTAATTCGTCGCGACTTGCGCTCCGACCCAGCGCGGCCGCCCAGCCCTGGCTGCCGTCCCTCCCGGCCACGGCCACGGCCCGGCCCCCCCCCCGTGGTGTGGGAGAGCGCCGCCACCTACTTGGACCACCGCTGAGGTTGCTAGGGGGATAAGCAATGGGGCTCTCAGTGGAGGCCTAGGTGGGGTATGTCTTGTCTAATCTGGCTTCTAAGTGGGCTGCATGTGCCCTAGGCGGCCTTCTGGGGGGCCAAAAGGTGGTCCAAGTGGACGAGGACCACTTCGCAGATTTGCCTGCCCCGTCACGCCACTTCGGGCACTTGTAGTTCATGTATAATTTAGGTTAGGCCACATATAACCCACATTCGTATCCACGTATTCATGTAGCAACCTTTGCGGTGATTCAAGTCGGCACTCTTGCTAGAGGCCTTTAGCGGCGTCTTTTCCCTGTCCCTGAGGGTCTGGAGGCCCCGCCGATATCACCTTCAGCGACCTCTGCTGCTGCAGAGGCGCGGAAGCGGCCTCCAGTGACCAGACTTTCGCCAGAGCGTCGTCGCTCGAGCACGCTCTGAGCCAGGGATGCCTCCGAACCCGAGGGCTTCCGAAGGTTTCCCGGCCCGAGGACCTCCCGGTGCCCCCCCCCCCCGCGGCAGCTTCCCAGGGCGGCCCTCTGGCCTCCCAGGAGCCTCCGAGTGGCCTCCCAGGAGCCCCCCCCCGCTGGGGACTGCCCGAGAGCTTCCGAGGCGGTTCCCGGGGCCTCCCCGAGGTACACCCAGGGCGCTCCAGAGGCTGCCGAGGGAGCTCGAGCGGCTCGCAGAGAGAGAGCTTGCAGAGGCCTCCGAGCGGGCGGGCGGCGCAGCAGCACGCGGCACGCTGGTGCCCCGCCAGCCTGGCACCGCCCACGCGCGGCGACCAGCAGCCCCGCCAAAGAGCCTCAGGGTCTCAGGCCTTCCCTCTGCTTTGCCGTCTCGCACGCCCTCGTGCCCTCCCGGGAGGGCGGGCGAGGCGAGCCTGTGCTCTTGCACGGCGGGGGCGGCCCTCCTCGCGGGCGTGGGCTCCCGCGCGGGCCCGCCCTGCCTCTCTCGGGGCTCGCCGCGGCTGTTGTGTGCGGCCGCGGCCCCCGCGTGCATGCTCTGAACCGTGGCACCTCTGACCGCCGAAGCGGGCGCGCCGTGCGACGAAATTCTGGCCGTCGTCGTCGTCGTCGTCGTCGTCGTCGTCGTCGTCGTCGTCGGCGTTGCCGTCGTCGTCGTCGTCGTCGTCGTCGTCGTCGTCGTCGTCGTGCGAGCGGCGGCGCGGCCGCGGCGAGCCCTCGGGCTCGCGCCGGGCGGGGCGGCAGAGGGGGCGGGCAGGCGAGGCGGCTCGGAGGCCCGCTCCTCCTCGGGGCCCGCGGGCCTGCCCTGGCGGCCACGTCTCGTGAGCAGCGTCGTCCTCCGCCTCCTCCTCCTCCTCCTCGTCGTCCTCCTCCTCCTCCTCCGCCTCCTCCTCCTCCTCCTCCTCCTCTCCCTCCTCCTCCTCCTCCGCCTCCTCCTTCGCCTCCTCCTCCTCCTCCGCGTTCTGGAGGGGAACGAGAGGCTCGGGGGCTGGCGTTTTTCTCGCGCTTTCGTCGGCCCTCGCCGGTGTTCCACAGCCTCGGGGTGCTCTCCAGCAGCTGCGCCTCGCCGAGCGGCGTCTGGGGCTGCCAGGGTCGTCCAGGGCGGCCGCCAGAGGGCCTGGGGACGGCCCGACAGCCAGGGGGCAACGTCGGGGGGGAGAGGCTCAGGGGGAACGCATCGACTCATCGACTCCGCAGTCCCATGAATCGGCGATAGGGGCCTGCTAGCACATCCCGCCCTGGAGCGTCCAGATTCGCTATCGAGGGCTTATCGCCGATCTATTCGCGATGTATCGCCGATTTCAGCTCGATGTTTCCTGCCCTGAGCCGGTCTTCCCTAGCGTTGCCTTTGAAAGTCGCCCCAAGAGCTTGAATGGGGGATCGATTACAGAATAGCCCAAAGTTGACGTTCTCGTCGGATCCGTGGAAAACACGTGGAATTTTTGCCCATATCCAAAGGATGGGGTTCTTGTTATTCGCGGACCTCTACACTTCCAATCCTCCCTCTCTGCACTGGACTATGATAATGATTGTCATGATGAGGATCATGGTATGGTGAAAGTTTGCTGCGAGTATGATGGTGATGGTGAATGATGGGTGAGAAT